AGAATAGTTTAAATAAACCAATTTTTATTCAACAAATAAAATTGTTTAGCTTATCAAGTAATATTATTGATTAATCCAAATAATTTATTCTCTGACTCAAAGAAAAAAAATTTATTCATTTAATTCTTTCTGGATTTTATTTAAAAAATGTTCAATAATATTATTCAAATAATTTTAGAAATTTTAACATTTCTTTTTCCGCATTACTGACATTTATTTTTTATTACTTCATCGTTTGCGCCTCTCCTCTAGTGCTTTTCCCCATCCAAATACTCCATCATTCCATAATGCGATCACCTATCCTTTTTATTGTCTAAAATTAATTTAAGTTGCTTGTCTTCAACAATCGTATAAGAATTAGTGATAATCATTGAAAACAATGCAACAATACAGTCGATATGTAACGGATATGTGACAGAATATGCATTAACGAACCAATGACGCCATAATTGCTTTTAGATTTTTAAGATTATATTAATTAGCTCAAAAACTAGATTAGAATGAGAAATTAAATGTTGAAAATAAAATTTATTTTAATTAAATAATGACTCAATTTAACGAAACAAAGTGTAAAATATAACTATAATATTAACATATTATTTGAAAAGAAAGAAAATTTGATTTTTTTTAAATAATAGTGTTTTTCCTATCAAACAACATAATTTAATCTAGTAAAACAAATAATACTTGATATAAAATTATGTTGCTTAAGTACAACAAATCCAAGTCAAACAAATAAGAATGCTAAATCCAAGAAAACCGTTCTCTTACTATAATAGTAAGTAAACTGAATTTTATTTGAACTTGATGTTCTTGATTGAAATGTCGAATTTACTAGAAAATCCAGAAAGAATAAATTTGATGCTTATGATAAACTTATTGTAAATTTGCATATACCTAGACTCATGGAATATACTTGAAACAAATAACATTTACTTGAATGCAATGTGTACTTTTCTATAATACATACTAAATGTTCGTTTCGAAATATCTCGTTTCGAGACAGAAGCACGGCGGAGTTCGAATCATAGCCGTATCAACGGATTGCTTTTTATTCGACAGGCAACAAAGACGAGTGCTTACATAAGTCCGCGGTTTCGCGTGTCTCTTGGCCGTAGGCCCCGCGTCTAATTTGCATTGAGTCTCTTTCGTCACCGAAGAAGCGTGCCATAAATCTGTGGATTCTCGCGCGTTGGACTCGGGGAATCCGCGCGCAGTTCCTACACATCACCATCTGCTTAGCTCCGCTTCACGAACGCTCGTTAATTCTGGTGCGAACAGGTAAAATTTACGCGCTATTTGTTGGCAGCCGATCCGTTGGTCGCCAAAGTCCGCCACGTTCCCGCTGCATGAGCGCGTCCGCTATTTCGGACGCTAATTATCGCTCGGCCTGCCAAGCGGCGAGCCTTTTTTTCCCTCGGCTGCGCTCGTCTGATGAATCGCATATTCCTAATTAACGGGACAACACGCGATCAACACTCCTAGACCGATGTAGCAGTGTGTCCGAATAAAACCGAGTTGGCTGGCTGGCTGGCTGGCTGGCTGGTTAACTGGCTGGCTGACTGACTGACTGACTGACTGACTGGCTGGCTGGCTGGCTGGCTGGCTGGCTAGTTAAAACGAGCCGAGCTGAACCAAACTCAAGATGAGTCTTATTGTTACCGTTTGGAATCCGACGTAATCTCTCTCCGTGTCGCAATAATTACGCTGAACTTAATTTGGAAGTAAATATCAAGAGAAAATGTGCGGAAAGCGAGGTACTATAGAGGCCACATAGATATAATTTCTATTTTGAATTTAAAATCACGTTGAGAAATGAATGCGTTTGGGAAAATTTAGGTTTCCATTGAACGAGTCATATCTTAATTTAGCTTTAGTTGTATATTAAGATCTTTAGAATAGAATACAGAATAGAATAAAAAAGAAAATTCAAGTAAAAAGAAACTTTATTTATTCACTCTAGGATAGCATTATAACTGCGCAATATACAAATATATGAACTAAGTACAAAAAGAAAAACAAAATAAATACATATGTCATAAGTCTGTCGACGTTTTGCTAGAAACTTAATTTTACGTCATATTTTTGAAAAAAAAAATTACTCGATATTTATCAATTAAAGAATTTTAAGATTTGAGGATTTAAAAAACTATAGCTTATATAAATTTGAAAAGTTCTACTAAAAAAGTCTACCTCTAGTAACACCTGTTCCATTTTTTTCTTATTTTGTCAGGGGTAATAATTACGCACGGTAGCTACGTCTGAAAGATATTTGTGGACGCGTCGTCGACGAGAAACGCGATTACACACTTTCGTGTCGTATGAGGAATCACATCCCCCGTTAATAGCCAAACTAATAACTAATGGCTAAAATGCTGAAGTTAACGACGGCAAAAGAGCATAATCGCTCGTGCCTACTGCGTGCTACCGTCAAATAGAAAAGCGCGGCTCTCCAACTGGCTCGTAATACAGACGGGACGAGAAGTGGTGTACAATCCGCGCCAGCAACAAGCTCTAAATAACCTCTTGTTAAGTCGTCAACCAGTTAACCCTAAGATGAACCCGCAAATTAACTTTCCGCAACTCGAAAATACTTTTATTGAGGCGTTAACAACGGCGCGCGATAATTCGATTCAGTAAATCAAACTCGTTGCGCTGATGGTATGCGTGTCATTTCCACAACTGCGAGGAACAGGAGAGAAGAATTAGAATCGCAACGCTAAAAGCATGACGAACTCTCGATGCGCGAGGATTCAATTTTGAAACAGAGCAAACACAGGAAGTGCGAATTTTAGAAGTCACACGAGAAATCCGTTCTGAGAATGAACTATTCCCAATTCAGTTGACACGACGCGATATGTCAAACAATCACTGTACTATTTATATGTTTTAACGACTGCAAAAATAGTTGAAAGCTACTTCCTTTTTATTGAGCTTGAACATATTGAGTTTTATCACATTCGCGGTTATCTACACGCTAATCTAATTTCACAGTGCTTAGTTCAGTTACGTAACTTCAATGTTATGTAATTTTTCGTTTTGCCTGCGTATTTTCCGTATATAAAAAATTGTCACAACTCTCCGCATCTACTTTGCGATCGCTGGTGAAGCTCTTGAGACAAATCAATACTTCAAATGTGATTCAGATAGTTATCTCATGACCGTGCGATTGCAAACGCAAATGTAAAATGAACGAATCTTCTCGGGCGCGTTTTTGACCTCGACTGTACGGAATTAGGGTCTGCCTTCGTGACGGACTGCATTACGACTCCTAGCGCGACAGTATGAAGATACAATTAAATTGTTTTACGACGATGTTGCAAAGTGCGTTCCATCGTTTACGACCATTGCTGCCGGCAGCGAAGCGCAAAACGAGTCGCGTCCGCGTTTATCACTTCAATGTCTGACATTTCCATCAGCTTTGCATTTCTATTTGTCGCTCTTTCTATCCGTGATTATTTATTTCTTGCATTTCTATTGTCATAACACTTCTATATGTCTCGGAAATATCAATATATAAATGTTACGTTATACGTATAAAAACAAATAAAAGAACAAATCTAGCAAGAACTTTAAAGAACATTGAAAAATTAAGTGCGTTATACAACACGTCGACACTTTTAACACATTATATTGGCAGTTTAAATTAACATGCACATGTGTATTCAAACCTCATATATCTTGTCTCATAATGTAAACTCAAGTATCGTTTCTCCAACATTAAGAAATAATGTTGGAAGTTAGAATACTTTTCTAACACACATAGATGCGTTAATTTAAACTGTCAGTATAGTGTAAAGGTGAAAATGTTTTAACATATACATATTTCATTTTAAAACTACCAGGGACAGTTTTAAATCTAATTCGTTTTGAATCTAATTATCAATTTGGCAGAAGTCATGTGAAAGCAATCGCTTCTATTTGTATCGAAGTGACGTTGTTTAGCGATATAGAAGGGAAATCCAACAATGGCTCCGTAGAAAATTGTCTACAAGGAAAAGTAATCACTCACACAATTAACCATTACAACCGATAATTTTATTGTTTATCGATACAACCGACGACGAGAGACTGAGAGCCGATTTGATATCCGAAATATCCGAAAGATAAACATAACAACAAGAAAATATAATAACAAGAGAATAGTGCGAGACTAGAGAAAAGGCATACATACAGATAGTATAGAACAAAACAATAGTTTTGTTTGTTTAGCCGAATTAAATACGGCGATCCTCGCTCAGCGGCTAAATCGCCTTGCTGTGATTCGCTAATCTTTGTTTCGCGTAACTTCGATGTTACATATGAAGAATGAAGCCGATAGGTTTGAGAGATATGAAAAAGAAATATGAAAAGAATACAACTGAGGTAAAACCAGAGAGAATTTAGGCACTGAGTGTAATGAAAGAGATTTATTGCGATAGCTACGATTATATTTCATTTCAATTTTCCGTAACAAGTGTCTGGAACGATTTGGTATCTGCAAGGCTGTAATTACAGATTTCCTGTTTGTCAACTTCCTTATCTTATCGTTTAATGGGCTAACATAACTTCAGCATTCAGCATTCACTGTCCCGATGACGAACAAGAATTAACATCAATCAGATCATTACTATCGATAAGCGACGCAACAACAATATCAGAAAATAATCATCTTCTTAATTTCAAAAGTCATTCCTACCTGGCGTAAATTTTGGTAATCTTTGATCTGTGAGACTAGTATTGCGCTAACAGCGACGATATCTTATCATATGACATATACAGTAAAGCTTAACATATTTTACGCATGATTCGGCTAAAGAGAGAGGAATCATGAGAAATCATGATTTCTTAATTCTATGTGCTCGTACCGTAAATAATACAATACATGCAGTATTAAACGTGTAGTCGGGTTACAGGTACGGTCATCTTGTGCTAGAAAGATCGTATATCCATAGTGGGGACTAAAACGAGTACGTTGTCGAAAAGATCGTCGGCGGTTGCAATTCGCAAAAAGGACTTACGGTGATCTAGTGTAGAACCGGTAACGAATCCTTTGCTGCCCGGGCATTCCAGGTTGGTGTTAGTAGTAGCAGCGGCGTTGTCAATGCCCTGCAGGTGGTAATGCGCGAAGGACGGACCTCTGGGCGCCATGATGGCCGCGATACTAAAGTCCGTCGCTTTACCCCTCTCCCCCTTCGTAGGCATGCCTCCTCGCGCGCGCGACAACACTTATTCGTACGCGTTGAATCTCTTCTCCCCTTGCTCTTTGATCGTTTTATCTCCTCTCTCCCGTTCTTTATAAGGAAAAAGTAACTCCACTTTCTTCGCCCCTCCTTCAGGAAAGTCCATAGGAGAATCACCACCCTCACTCGCGACAAGGCATATTAGGCCTACGTCGAACCTTCAATTCTCTGTTTGATTTTTTTTCTATATATCGCTGTTTTCTCTTCCTTTCTTTTTCTCTCTTTCTTTTCTAACACCCAGCGTTCCTTTGAATTAACATGACGACCCGCAGCAACGAGAGAGATACTGTCACTTCTCTTCTCGAAGTGAGACAATATACGAAGTTAACCAGATTAAATGATTACTTCGAGTACTATCCACTCTCGTAATTGCTGACTCCGATAGTGACGTGGCCAGGTTAATCAATCGTACTCGCGCTGCCGTCGTCGCTTATTACTATTGTTGCCTGTACGGAGGAACGCGCGGAGCACAACGCGTCTGCGCTGCTCGACTTCCCGGACTCCACTGGCTCGCCGTGCTACCTCCCACGCGCAACGGCTGCCCCACCACAGCAACGCAGCAACGGATATTGTGGCGCAGCCAGCGATAAGCGACTTCTGATGCGCGCGCAGTATCGACCAGCGATTGTGGGCGGGACTTGGCGCCTGGTAGAATTGCTTAACCGATCGCGGCCTCTTTCAATCTTGCCGTCGCCGAGCCAACGCGGATCACGTGACATGCACGAAGTGGCGCAGAGCCGATGTACGGGACGTACTAGCAACCATGCGGCGAAGGCGGCGCGTGCCGAAGCCGCTACCTCGCTCGCCACACCCCATGAGGGACCACAACCACCACCAACTCTGCCACCGGCGACCCCACCATACCGTTGCCACCACGGCAGCGACGTCGTATGTGGGTATCGCGTATATAGCGGCGTGGCAGCGACACGGTGGCCGCGCAACGACGAAAGAGAGATCGATCGACCTCTCGCGCCGGATGGCCGGCGTTCGTACGTATCTACGTATGTACCTCCGCTGCGCAGTGGCGTAGGACGAGGCTACGGGCAACGAAAATCCTATAATTCGTAGTATTTTGTGACGTGTTGATTAACCTCGCGTGCGCTCGTCTCATAGATACTCTCTAATCAGATAGTATTGAACAGTAGTTTTAGATAAGTATCGGCAAGATTGATAGGTTACTAAGGTTCGCGGTTACGTAAGAGATCGTCGACGCATGAGTTCGCAAGCATTGTTCGCGATGGAATCCGAAAATTCACCTCTGGCACGTACGATTAGAGTTCTTTCCGTGATGAAAAGTCAGAGTAATACTCAACAATCGTGTTCGCGATACCGCGATTGACCCGCGAGCAACACAACGTACGCAGTTACATCCTCTGACGGAAGTGCACTCTACGTCGCGTTGATTTTCTCGGAGAAGCAGCGATATCGCTGAGAGAATTTATATCAGCCGCGTCTTGCAAGTGGTGGGATATGCTGGCACACGTAACATGTAGCTAAAAGCTTTTGCGAGCTATCCCAGAGACCGGAGAGGGTCGCTTGCGCCGAGAATAATCATGAGTTCTCGCCAGAAGGGTACAACCGTTGACACTGCACAATTCGTTTATACCAGTTATTTATGGCAATTTGAAACGGGAATAGGAATAGATACATAAATAGAGAGTCAGATAAGGACGGAGGAAAATTATCTAGACTAACATAATACATAACATTTGCATAGTTCTTGTATTTGCCATAAACTTGCACGTTGTGTTAGGATTGAGTCGACCTTCCTGTAACATAACCGATGGTAATCTTGTCGAAATTTTTAAGCTGTAGCCTCAAAGCTGAAATTTTAGTGAGCCGTAAAGTGAACCTTTAGTCCTTTTTTTTCTAGACCTTACTGTGTAATTATTCATCGTCCTTTTCTCTTTCTTTCTTTGGAAATTTCAATAAATCTTCTATTACTAAATGTACCATTTACAGAAATACAAAAAACATATTTCGACAATTGAAGATTGTTCACAGCTATGTCACGAGTTGAATGATTATCATCGTACTGTGTTTTCAAGGTTCTCCTACAACTAAACGCTTGTCGCTATACGGCACGGTTGAATTTTTACTCAAGACACGTATTGCGGATATTCGCCAAGGGCGGTAAAACGCGAGCAAATTCCACAGACATTACAGCAAGGAGCGAGACGAGACGGGCCGATGGACTGAAGGGTGGAAAGGTGGGTAGACGTTACGATGAACGGTGTAATAAAACCGCCGCGCCCGCAAAGGCGTCGAAGATGCAACGTTAGGAACCGTTAAAAGCAGCGTCCTCCGCAAGAGACGCATCTCGATCGATCAAACGTCACAAAAATGGATCTCGACGAGACAATCTCGAGGGTCCATGACGACGCGCGGATGTCTCGGCCACTGAGAATACCGAATGGTAGTAGTAGATGGTAGCGGAGTTAGTGCAGTGGGGGAATAGATTTACGGCGTGTGTTTAGGCACTTAGCCGCTTTACCTAGCCCCCTTTATTATACTAATTTCTCGGGCATGTCAAAATATCTATCGTGTACCCGGCCTTCCGAATTCCATTCGACACGCTGGGTGCCCCTGTAGTTGAGCGGATAAAAGACCCCCCTAAAGCATAAAATATGAAGCCCTCGGCCTCCGTTCTTCGTCGCCTCTCCTCCAGCCACGGGTCGCCTTCAGGTAGCTGGAAGGAAAGGAGCTGGCTCGCGCAAGTCGTCAAGTCGTGAACCGCAGAATCGAGACCGTTCCCTGAAACAGTTTTCTCTTCCCTTTTCTCCGTTCCTCTCTTCTCCCTGCCTGGCTTTGCCCCCGGGGCATTACATCCCAGTGTTTTTCAAGGCAGCTACGGACGTGTCACCGTCGCCTTTCACAGTCGTCAACCGTGGTGAAGTTCGCCATTCAACGGACTACGACTGTATCCACTTAACTGCGTACGGTCGCGCTCGAAAAGTCGTGTGGGTCTACTTAAGCCGCGCTGTTAAACGGGTATTATAACCACGTAGTCACACTGTGGATTTGTTGCGGTCTGATCTTGCACCCGTGGGGCGTGCTCGTGACGTATACGGGTCATGTCACGTGCAAAAGTCGAAATCAACGTGACGGGGTTACTGCAGGATCGTACTTTCGTAATTCAAATGACACACTACGATCTTATCTTCGTGCATTGTTCGAATAAGTCGATCTCTATTACTGGGCGCTTTGAAAGTCTATAATTTACCGTCTGAATCGGGACAAGTCGATCCATCATTATCGATGCTATGCACGGCACGGCGATATCGGTAGAGCTCACTCACTTCTAATAATGGTTATTTGCTATCGAGTCTCTTAGCGCGTACAGACAACATGTTGGCGTTTCTGCTGTCGGTCCGAAAACTTATCAATTCCGATCGCGAAACGCGGAGGTAACAGGCTGGGATTCGTATCGGTCGGAGATTCCAATCTCGATCAAATTAGTGAAATTTCCTTCTCGCTGACAATAAATTCCCGCCGGTGTGTGAGTTGCTCGCTTCTACGCCGGTTGTTGCTCGCGGCGACCGGCTGGGACGGCGGCAACAGCAGCTCGGATGCAAATTGCATCTCGACGGTCCGCGGGTGGGAAAAATAAACGAGAAATAAAACGGGCGAGCGAGCGAGCTGGCGGCAAGATAGAAGAGGAGAAGGAGGAAGAGGAGGAAGGAGGAGGAGAAAGAGGAAGAGGATGAGTAGGGAGAGGAGGAGGAGGAGGAAGAGAAGGAGGAGGAGGAGGCAAGCGAAACCCACCAGAGCGGGGCTGTTCGATGACGGAGAGACGGAGGAGGGGAAGGAATATCAAGGTGGAGTGGTGGGAGGGAGATAGGGAGGTAGAGCAAAAGAGAGAGAGAGAGAGAGAGGGAGAAGGAGAAGAGGGCGGACAAACGCGACGGCCGAAGGTGGATGCGGAGAGTCGCGTCGCGACAGGGTGCGAGCCGCAAGAGAGGGAGGTACGCGAGGATCATTCATCATGTGAGGAGAAGAGAAGCCTACGCGAATACACCACCGCACCTCAACGTCTGCAGCTGATGGTGGTGGAAAGGCCCGACGGTGTTGGAGGTGGAAGGCCACCCACGCGGAACGATCGGGTTCGGTGGCAATTCTAAGGCCGAATACACCGATCCTATCGCGGGTCCAGCTCGTATGCGGCGCCGTAGCCAGGTGATGAGCGTGTTACGCGATGCGCATTGGCTCGGCCAACGTGGGACGTTACTACTTAACTTCCGTGTTATCTGGAAAGCCGCGCGCTACGCCATGTAATTTAGAATGATATAACCGAGACTTTTGCTGCGTTGACCGTGCGGCTGAATCTGACGAATGCACAGAGCGAAATGAAAATGTCATAGTGGTAGACGCGTAGCAGGGGAGACGAATATATCGTGAGAAAACGTCGACCACTAGTAGGTACGGAAAAATTACGATTTTTTTTTAACAAGATGGTTTATGGGCATATAAATCAAATCGACTCCTCGTGAATGAACCGCAGTTTCGAAACCAGAAATTCCGACGCAGCCGATCAAGGAACGTTATACTATCCGGTTGCTCTTAAATCAGTAGCATCCACATTACAGAATCTCTTCTCCAAAAAAGATTACTGCTCGTCGGTAGGAGCCAGTCGAGCGGAGTTACAAACTCCAAGCTCTCATGGCACGAGCTTCTCGGCTGCTCAAGTGGCTTCTGGAGAGAGTAAACACACGGTTCCTCTTCTCAGCCACCCCCGCCCAGCCTCGGGCAGTCCTAATAATAACGACGAAATTGCCGTTCGTGGCGGCGATAACGAGGAGACGATGTCAGGGAAAGACACCGAGTGTTCTGTCGGAAGGGATAAAAAGAAAGAGAGGGGGCGAGAGAGATGACAACGAAAGGGTGCGAGCGGAAGTATGAGTAGGGACGAGGAAGAGAAAGAGAGAAGGAATACAGAAAGAGCAACGTCGGCGACTCGTAGAAAGACACGGTCTCCCGATGACTCAAGGACCGCCAAGTTCTTGAGGGTTCTGTTTTGTTCAAGAGCATCGCGGCGCCAGTCCTTCGTCAGGAAAAGTAAAACACTGCGCCCAGTAAAATGAGAACTCGTGTACATATTTCTTGTGGAACATCCTTCGTGAGAAAGCCGCGGTTTCAGGAGAGAAAAAATGCGAGGCCGTTATATCTTAGCTACTGAAGAATGTAATTACAGCGATAATGAGAATACGCTCCGCGAAGAAATAAAGAGAAGAGGAATTAAAACCACGTGAGAGATATAAAACGCTAATTACATTACCGAGGCAACTCCCGATATCGGTAATCAGATTGTAGCGCCAAGCTGTATGTAATTTACTTTCCCAAAAAACCCGATTCGCCAAAATTACGTTTAGATTTCGTTAAGTATCGCGCCGATTAAGTCGTGAATGAAATTTTCCGGGACAATTTGTGGCCGCTACTTTTTCACCAGCGATTCTTTTTTTTCTTCTTTTTTATTGGACGCACCCTGCGTATCGC